GGACAGGGAGGGAAAGGAGGACAGGGAGGACAAGGAGGACAGGGAGGGAAAGGAGGACAGGGAGGGAAAGGAGGACAGGGAGGACAAGGAGGACAGGGAGGACAGCAGTGAGTTTTTCTCGGCTGGTCCAGCAGATCCAGCTGTGGGTTCTGAGTCCTGGTTGGGAAATCAGGGGTTCTATAGAACCGGACCAGGAAAGGATCTGAGGGACACCAATCCATTAACAGAGATATGGGACAGAGGAGCGGCTCCGTTCTAACATGTGTTTGTCTGGGGGGGGGCGGGACACAGATCATGGGGACATGGAGACACATGGACGAGTTGGAGCAGCAGGACAACGGTGGGACAAAGGACAGGCAGCGGGTGGGGGTGGGGGGTCCTTACCAAGATAGAACTGTTAATGCTGGAGGGGCCATTGGAGGGGGGGGGCTGCCTGGAGATGCAGGGGGAACCTCTCTGAAATAAGACACACGGGTCATCAGGTGAGGACCATGTGACTCGCTTTAAGCCCCTCCTATTATCTGATCCTGACAGTAACCGTGACAACAACCCTGATCCTGACAGTAACCCTGACAACAACCCTGACCCCTAATAACCACTAAAGGCCTGGTTCTCCTCCCCCAGCAGTGTGTCACAGATATTTTTGATTTCTGCCCAACATTGCAGCGTTACGTTATTCCACGCCACAACGCCAGAGGGCCAATCAGGAACTAGCTGTGGGTCTAGGTACGAGGTGGTGAGGAAGTGGCGGAAAGTTTGAGTGAAACGGAGGGACATGAGGGCCAAAAAGATCCAGGTGGGAAAAGGGTCCGAGCGTTCTCACCTCGCTCTGCTAGCTGCTCCATCTTCAGTCGTTTTCCACAATGGCGGTCAGACAAACAAAACAAGCCAGTAAGGAACCAAACAGGAAATACGCATAGAGTAGAGCAGATGTAGATCTGACCAATCAGAGGCCTCCTGTCTGCGGTCACCAACAATTTTGGAAGGAGGAGTGTCTGCGGAAGGGGGCGGGGCATATCTGTGTTAACTGCGACACACGCAGACGACCCGGTTTCTGAGTATGAGTGGAGGGCAAGACCAGCTGAACTTAATGTGCTGAAATCTGACTAAAG